ATCAGTGCTTTGATTTACGTATTTGCTAATTCTCCTGAATTACAAAGTTCCTTTGTGACATGTACACACACACACACACACACACACACACACACACACACACACACACACACACAGACACCACACACACCTCCACACACACACCTTTTCCTCACACACTCACACAAAGTCTAATTCTACTACCAAAAACAATTTGATAACTCACCATGACAGCATCTGTGGACACCTTTTACACACTGAACCTATTTACCCAGGTTAATGAACTTACCTGTCTTGGTCTCTGGATATTTATTAAATAATGGATGAACATGAATGTTTGAACTTATTACTTCGAAAATTAAAGTCAAATGAACATTGTTAGATTAACTCTTGATACAGAGTAGGAGATATGATCTGTATGACACACACACACACACACACACACATGTGGATAATTAGATACATTTCATTTGGTGCAGGAGAGAGATGACCGGGGGGGTGGTTGATGAGGAGCAGGTGTTGGGAGGAGCAGGTTGTTGGGGTTGGGAATTGTTCAGGGCTAAAGGATAGAGAGGGTTGTTGAGTTACTTGTGCAGTTATTTGTGTTACAGGTATATGTAGCCCACTTGGGCACAGGTATTACATCTAAGGGCCTAGGGGCAGAAATAATAATAATATGTGTTATTGTTATTATTATTAATATTATTATTATTGTTATATGTATATATTTTTTAATTCTATTTTTCATAGTTTCTTTTGTTATTATTATATTATTATTATTATTATTATGTTATTGTGTGTACTATTTGTTACTATTATATTATATTATTATTATTGGCTATTATTATTATATTATTATATTATTATTAACCCATTATTGTATTATTATAATAATGTATTAATAATAATAAGAAAGAAAAGAAATACAAAATAAAAAAGATCAAGTAAAACAATATATGTATGTTGTATTGTCAGAAGTAAAGAGAAACAATTGAGACCCTGCAGGTGATTGTTGTGTAAATGAGACAGAAGGCAGATCAGCAACCTGGGACTTCGTGATGCCATGTGGCAGGGTCTACAAATTAGACAAGACATTAAGGCTTCCAATATCTTCCCAGGCAGTAGTACCTCCTGTTGGTAGCTACCTACCTGCAAACGTATGGAATAACATTAAAGTGTGACTGACAATGATAATTCCGTCAGCAGCATTTCACATATTACAAGTATTTCGTGGCTGGTGATAGATTTTAATAAAATCACCATACTTAGACGTCAATGTCTCCCATCTGTTGTCTGCCGCGTTAAGGCGAGGTGACGTGATGACTTAAGGGACGCCGGGAGGAGGTCTCCATGCTGGACAGAACAGTTCTCCACCATACTATTGTTAAGTGTAGAATATTTAATCTCTGAATTCTGATGCTTACCACAATGGTTGAAGTGTTGGCAAGTTAATAAAAATAAATAAATAAACAGCTATTGCATCCTGTCTACTATAATTGTCTGGACATAAGTCATATATTCACATGTCAGCTTTAGGTAAACCCTGAGTCATGAGGAAATGTACATTGCTTGAAAAATAAGTATTGATATGCGTTTTTTGCTACAACCAATATACTATAGCCATAATGGCTGGAGTAAATATGTGTATAATGATCAGAGATGTTACTCCCCATCGTGTAGTGATATTTGACCAAACGGTCTTTCGCTGGTGATTTAACGAAATGCAGTTGGTCAAAGGCGAGGGCACCACATAGAAGTATCCACTGACATACGGCCTGCCATACTACATAAACCCAGCACTATGCCGCTTTTATTCTTCTTACGCTTACCTTGACGATTTCTGTAACAATAAAATAAACTGGTAGATTTGTTTAAGTTATTGTTTTCAGCTTCCATTATCCGCTGCGCGACGGTATTATCCGCTCCACATTGAATGTGTAAACAGCTATCGAACCGAACTGATGACACCACAACTCATGTATTTATGGTGGGTCTCTTCAATATTGGATGCCTGGTCCGGGATTCGCTGGGGCTGGGGACACAACAAGACTGACTTAGATGTATGTGGTTTTATAAGTGTTTATTATTTTGTATTTTATTACAAATAGCAGTTACTCGGCTCCTATTTTAGACAAAAGCTTAAAACAATAACGTTGCCAGAGCAGAATGGTATCAAGCTGGCTGGTCCCAGGCCTTGATTGACCTCGTCTCTGGAAGTGACTCAAGGTTTTGGATTCACATCTATGTCTCTTGGGTCCCACACTTACAGAGGTGTGTGGGAGGCGCTGTGTTTTTGTCGGTAATGTCTGACTGTACACACACACAATGTGTATATACAAACAATTTTATCAGTGGTCAGGAATGAGACCTGGACCTCTGCGTGTGAACATGAGGATATACCACCGCGTTACAAGGACAACAAAAGCAATTCTAGGTTTTGTTATATTCCACCTAAATCCTGTTCATCATTGTTTGTTAAACGCCGTGAACCTCTACTGGGGATGCCCATGCAACTAACTTAATGGTCGGAGGAGCATTTATAGAATCGGCCGAAACACGAGGCTACATATATATCTCATCAGATCCATAAAGCACGCGGACTGCCATATACAAGCAATTAATCCCTATGTCCTGCTGAACAACAGGATCGTGAAGGAACCAGTAACAGAACAACAGGGGCAAGCAGAGACATCTAACTGAACAGAAGAACACATAGAACCAGCAATTTGAAAAACAGAACAGTTTAGAACCAGTGGATGAACAACAGCACTAAGGGAATGGGTCACCCTGGTTTACTTAAGTTGGTAATGAAAACAAGAAAATGTTTACGTTTTCTCTAAAGGTAAAATAAGAAAGTACCATAACCCCAACAACTAGAACATACATACATACATATACATACATACATACATACATACATACATACATACATACATAAATACATACATACATACATACATACAGATCAACCAGTATGTATGACGTGAATAAATTATAATATCAAGAAACAAATTAGATTATAAAATTAATCGTAAACTCCCATTATTTTCTATCAATTCGCCTGACTCGTTTATTATACCCACAAAAGTTTATTAATATAAAAAAGAAAAGAATATTGTCTCTCCATTGTCTTTCGTTGTTTTGTCTGTCCGTTAGTTTCAAAATTCGTTGTCGGTGTAATAACTTGAAAAATTTGCGAAATAAAACGAAACTCAGTACACAGTTTAATGTTATAACTGGCTCAGATTACGTTCAATAATCAACTTCTTCCATATTTATTTACGAAGTTATGGCCGTTGTCATCCTAAATTCAAAGCGCCATAAATTACCACTGAATATAAATTATAATCTAATCTATTATATTATTACTTTTTCTGGTAGGGTTAAATAATTATACTTTCACGTTCACTCAAACATTTACTGGAAAACGTTTCATAATCTTCATAATTTGTGGCATTAAAAGATGTGATGACATACAATGGCTTCAGCTACGTAGGGGGTAGATAGGAGGTGGGGGTGTGGGAGGATGGTAGGTGTTGGAGGGTGTGAGAGGTGGGGAGGAGATGTGGGAGGAGGTGGGGATGTGTGGAGAAGGGTGGGGGATGTGTGGAAGGTGGGGATGTGTGGAGGGAAGGTGGGGATGTGTGGAGAAGGTGGGGATGTGGGGAGGGGGGTGTGGGGGAGGTGTGGGTAGGTGGGTGGGGTCTGGGGTGAGGAAGGAGGGTGGGGAAAGAAGGACTGTGTGTATAATTTTTCTTATTAAAAATATTTATCAAACATAGTAAAGATTTTATTTTCTCATTTAATAATATCATCACAGAGCACTATCAATGTTTGGAGTGGTGTGACGAGGGAGGTGGTGAGTGGGTGAGAGGAGGTGTGGGGAGGATGGGGGATTGAAGGTGGAGGTGGAAGATGGGGTGGGAGGGGTGAGGTGTGTGTGTGTGTGTGTGTGTGTGTGTGTGTGTGTGTGTGTGTGTGTGTGTGTGTGTGTGTGTGTGTGTGTGTGTGTGTGTGTGTGTGTCAATAACTCACGGACTTGAGGGGACAGAACAAAAGATCAACCATTATTTCTTCATGGGATGTACAGTATCTTTATCCCTTCTGCCTTTTCAAAACAAAACTTTACAGGATGGTGGAGATGTGATGGTGAGACAGGATTGAGTTTTGTCTCTTTCTCTCTCTTATCTTCTTGATGCATTTAATCATTACCACAAGTGAAATAATTCTCTCTCTCTCTCTCTCTCTCTCTCTCTCTCTCTCTCTCTCTCTCTCTCTCTCTCTCTCTCTCTCTCTATCTGGTTTTACAAAAAAATAGGTTATTTCAACATTGCATTTTGTTGACGACTCATTCTGATCCACCTGGGTCCTGTGATGTGTGTAAATGTCTCTTTGGAGCGGAGGGACAGAAAATTGAATGGGGTGGGTATTTTGCCTGCGTTTTGAGGGGAACTGTGAAGGAACTACTTGATGAATGTCTGTGAAGAACTTCTTAGAGTGAATGTCTGTGGAATACTTGATGAATGTCTGTGGGAACTACTTGAAGTGAATTTCTGTGAAGGAACTACTTGGAGTGAATGTCTGTGAGAACTTCTCGGACTGCACAAATGAGGAGAAACTACAGAGTGCTACAGTGAAGGAAAAGCCAGGGCCCTCTACCATCAAGGAGAGAATTGTGTCACTTTGGTTCAAGAGACACAGTGGCGAATCATATGTGGTGCGGTTTGTAAACACGGTGAAGAAAAGAAATAAGGTAGAGAAGAAGAGTAATGGTGGATAGGGCGTGTGCGGATAAAAAATTGAAATGTTTTTGATGATTCTTGGTTAATTAAAATGTTGACTGCCATCAGGCGATAAGAATACTGGCGAGGTGTTTAAAGTTAAGGCTTGTATCTGTCTACTTGTTAGCCCTTTGATTTAATTCAGGTTAAGTAATTTGTGTGCAAAAAAAAAATATATAGTTCATTAATAATGATTTTCTGGCATAGAATTAGAAACAAATTGAGACGCAGTAATTATTTTCAGAATGGGGTAAAATTAGCGATGTGGGGAAATAATCATATTGTTAGTTGTATGGGCATCGAAACAACAAAAATACATGTGCATTATCTCTGTCTGAAAAAAAGCTTGCAGTTGTTGATAGAAATATAATCTGTATATTATAGTGCATTACCTTTCGCAACTGAAGGGATAAAACATTGGTTGTGCACTGAAAAGATGAAACTTTGGCTTTTTACTTGTTTTAACGATGGGGTTTGTGTTCTGAAAGTATAAAGGAAAAAGTTGTCAGCAAACAAGAGATAGAGAGATAGTCGGTGTTCAGGGAAATTGTTCATTATATACTGTGTTTCCAATAATTTGGTAGAGGGCAGCAAATTTCTGTCGAGTACAAATGTAACACTTTCACGTCAGAAGCAAAGTCATCATCTTGGTCTTCTCCGAGGCTGGGGAAGACTGTAGTATTGTTGGCTATTGCCTTCGGCATATCCTCACTCTCGCATAAGGAAAATGTACACTCATAATGATGCTCCTAAACGTGACTGCACAGGCAATGTGGTTTCGCTCTTCACCGCTCTCCGGGGCGCTGTAATGTTAAGGGAGGCAAAACAGCGGTGCCGCCACCCCCAAAATGTCCGAGTTCGCTCACTTTACGCGATATCACAATATACCGATAGTCCATACAGTGCTCAGTAGCCTGCTAAAATAACAATGATAACAGCAATAATAACGATACACAAAGTGATCCACTGTGATAGTTTACGAAGCAATAACAGTGAAGCACAGAAGACCAACAACAGGTAGTAAACTCTTAAAGTACACACAGCGTGGAGTACGCAGGGGAGGGTGGTGCGCGGGTATCATAACAAGCGGCTGATAGAGATGCAAAAATGGAACCCGCCGGTATCAATTTTCCCTGTCATCCTGGTTTTCTGCCTTCCCAGTGAGACGAGATAGCTGCGAACACGGGTTTAAAAATAACGTTAAAAGAAACGGTGCAGAATTTTATATTGCTAAAACCAGATTACTGTTTAAGTGAATGAACACGAAACAAAGGGATACCTGTGAACACCATCGTCATATATACTTCATATATTACCTGAACAAAAACACTTACATTTTGTATTGTACTAAAATATATGAACGCCCTCCATCTGAAAACAAACAAACAAACAAACAAACAAACACTACAGTACCTCAATAACAACTAATCTAATTGTTAGATTATACTTTACTGGTCGCTTGAAAACATTGTAACCAAGCCTATCCTAACCTCGCCCTAACCTCCCAGCTTCTGTCCTTCACAAGCCTTCAGTTTGTTCAGTACCTGGCTTATTGCCACCACTTACAAGTTCCCAGTACTATGGGTCAACTGAGTGTTAATTAATATGCATGCAATAAAACAATAAAATAAAAAGTATACTTCCAGATAAAGCAAAGGCTCAGAATTAAATTTCTTAACTTTATGTAAATATTGTATTAGTAGATTTTTAATCTGGAACTAAATCTATAACTTTGAATTTATAGTATAAACTATTTTCCCTATTAATCAAAATTGCCGTCCTCCTTATGTAAGGTTGGCGTACACATAGTCACTCCACTCTGAACGTTTTCGAGACATACTATTATAATTAATGATATATTGCATCTGTCATGACGCAATGTGCACTTACCCCCTTATTCTGAATTATATAACCTGTAAAAACACCAAACCATTATTAAATACAAGAATAATTAAAACTGTTAAATCCAACTTTTGTATATGTATGTATTTATATATGTGTATGTATATATATATATAATTTGGAGACTATACATATGATAAATCATATAGGGTAAACTTATTAATTCTCTAACATATTTCCAGTGCTGTGAAAACAAATATAAAAAATTTCTTGGAATTTGCAAATTTCCATATAGGCCTATAGTTCATGCAATATTTTAATATCCACCAATGATTAGTGCGATTTGGAGTAGCAACATTCATTCTTCTACAGGTATTAAAAGTCATTCAGTCTTCGACAAAATTCAGAAAAAAATATTGACAATATTATGTTAAGATACGGTTCGTCCTTGATACTTACTACTGAAAACTGACTCTATAACTAAAATACCGACCCCAATGAAAATAGGAAGGCAGGGAGAGGATATATCATGCCCAAACACTGCTCTGCCCCAGAGATACTCTCTGCTGCTATATCATTGCCCAAACCACTGTCTGCACCAGAGACCATATACTGTGCTATATCATGCCAAACCTGTCTGCACACCCAGAGATATATACTGTCATATATAAGCCACCCCCAAACACTGTCTACTGGGATATATATATACTATATCATGCCCAAACACTATCTACTTGAGATATACTGTACTATATGTACTAAACACTGTCTGCACCGAGATATACTGTACTATATCATGCCAAACACTATCTTCTTGAGATATATGCTGTGCTATATCATGCCCCAAACACACCTCTTTTTGAGATATATACTGTACATGGCAGAAGATACAAGATTTTTGCCCCAAATAGTCAATACACTCCCTAGTGAATTGAAAATCACACTGCCCCCATTATTTTGTGGGATGACTGGTCTTATCCATCTTACTGTGTCATAACTAAAAAAAAATCTAAATTTTTTGGGGTAATAGAAGTTTTTCAGATGTGAGACATTTTCTCAATTTAAGTCGTCAAGGATATTTAGTATGAATATAAATTCTACTATTCGGTGATGAAAAGAGAGTTGTATTTCCTTCTGAAGACCATTATTAGAGGTCATAAGACACACTTTGAAAACCTCTACAACTATGGTCTTAAATCGCTCGAAAGATTGTTTTTGTACCACCTCAAAAAGACCCACCACAGGCTTGGTCTTACAACGTCCTGTCAGACCCACTACAACAATGGCCTCAAGACGTCTCTGGAGGACAAGACCCTCAACAAAAGGTCTCAAGACGCTGCTAGGAGAAAATGTACCAACCTTATAGACCACCACAAGAACATCGGTGACTTACAATTCACCTCCTTAACATTGTTCTTCGTCAATAGCTGCTCAAAGTCCTTTATTTTTCCGTAGACTTTGAGGAACAGATTCTTAGAGATGTAGAGGCATTGTGTGTGTGTGTGGAGGCTCGGACAATGGCTTTTATGGGCGAGACAATGGCCGACATCTATCTTGAGGCCAATGTAAGAGAGTTGCTAAAAGTCTTCATTGTGGCAGCGTCCATTTATCGTCTTGTGCTGTTTACTGGTGGTGTTTGAGAGAGAGAGAAGCACTCAACATGTCGCCAAGTGCAAAGACACATGAAATAAATATTTTTCTCACACCTTCTCTCTCTTCTTTGTCTGTTTTCTTCTCTTTATAATTCTCCATCTCATGTTCTCTGTTTTTTTCTATCTGTGTATTTCTCTTTCCTCGTCCCCTTTTTATATATCCACATTTTCTCTCCCTTTCTTCCTCCTCTCTCTCTCTCTCTCTCCTTAACTCCCCCACATGAGAAAAAAGAACCAGAGTTTATCCTTCAATAAGACTCTCTCTCTCTCTCTCTCTCTCTCTCTCTCTCTCTCTCTCTCACCCACGCTACAAAAAATAAATAAATAAATCATAGTTTGCCCTGGAGTAAGAACATCATTTTCTCTTTCATTAGCGGCCCTCACAAATTTACCTGCCTCTCCTTACCTGATACTCTTATTTACGTGTAAATTTTGTACCGAAAAAAAAAAATTAATGAAATTATTCAATGTATTCATTTATTCTTTGTTTGTTGAATGAGGAAGACGAAGAGAGAGAGAGAGACCCATTAATGCGATAAAAGACATTAAAAACATAACAAACAAAGAATGTAGATAAAACAAACCTCGATGTAAATGTAACTTTAACACCACATCCAGTTTGTGTAATAGTAAAATTTGCATACAAGGAAAAAGTAATATTTCAAGCTTAAAATTTATTACTTTATAAATTTCATCTCCAATCTCATTTCTTACATACACCCCTTCCTCCTCTCTCTGACCCCCTTCCCTTCCCTCCTCGTCTTCTTCCTCCTCGACCTCCTTTCGCCCTTCCCTCCTCTACCTCCCCTCCCCTTCCCTCCTCGACATCCTTCCCTTCTCTCATCATCTCCTTCTTCCCTCCGTCTTCCTCCTCCCCCCTCCTCGGCCCTCCCTTCCTCCCTCCTCACCCTCCCTTCCCCTCCTCAGCCCTCCCCTTCCCTCCCTCCTCGGCCCTCCTCCCCTCCTCTGCCTCCTTCCCTCCCTCTCACCCTCCCTTCCTCCACCTCTCAACCTCCCTTCCCCCCCTCCTCGACCCTCCTTCCCTCACCTCCTCGACTCCCTTCCTCCCTCCTCGACCTCCCTTCCCCTCCTCCTCGAGCTCTCCCTTCCCTCCCTCCTCAGCCTCTCCTTCCCTCCCCTCCTCGACCTCCCCCCTCTCCTCAGCCCTCCTTCCTCCCCTCCTCGACCCTCCCTTCCCTCCCCTCCTCAAGCCTCCCTTCCCTCCCTCCTCAACCCTCCCTTCCTCCCTCCTCAGCCTCCTTCCCTCCCCTCCTCGACCCTCCCTTCCCTCCCCTCCTCGACCCTCCCTTCCCTCCCTCTCACCTCGCCCCTCCCTCCCCTCGGCCTCCCATCCCTCCCTCCTCGGCCTCCTTCCCTCCCCTCCTCGACCTCCCTTCCTCCTTCCTCGCCCTCCCCCTCCCTCCTCGCCTCCCTCCTCCCCTCCCTCGACCCTCCCTTCCTCCCCTCCTCGGCCCTCCTTCCCTCCCCTTTTGACCCTCCCTTCCTCCTCCTCAACCCTCCTTCCCTCCCTCCTCGACCCCTCCTTCCCTCCCTCCTCGACTCTCCTTCCTCCCCTCCTCGACCCTCCTTCCCTCCCCTCCTCGACCCTGCTTTACCCCTCTTCCAGCCTATATCCTCGCCACCTCCATCCCTTACCCCTACCCTTGGCTATAAGATTCTTTTCCCCTCCCCCTCTTCCCCCTCCCCTCCTCCTCCCCCAAATAATAATTACCTGCTTAGATGTACAAACAGCCGATAATTTTTCATTAATTAAAGGAATATTATAGAGTTAATGGCCTCAGGCGGTGTACTGAGACCCCCAAAGGGACAGAAAAATCTCTTTTCCTTGGTTGTTATTCGTAATTGACTATACAAATTACAGGAAACTACCAAGAAATTAGAACGATCAAAGTTAGGGTGTGATCAGGAGGTTTGGGAATTTGATCAGGGAGGGATTAGGGATTGATCGAGGGATTAGAGAGTGATCAGGGAGGGATTAGAAATGTGATCAGAGGGAGGATTAGAAATAATGATTGACTGGGTGAAGTTCATCATCATTTAGTTTTAAAGGATTGGATCTACATAAAGCCTCTTGTCAGGGGGCTTTAAGCAATTCATAAATAGATAATTAGTTTATATTTGGAATATAGATTGGAGAGAGTGTGTGTGTGTGTGTGTGTGTGTGTGTGTGTGTGTGTGTGTGTGTGTGTGTGTGTGTGTGTATGTATGTAATAATAATAATTAACGGTTTATTAAAGTTCTGCAGCCCGAAGGCTGAAAATATACATTGGACATAAATGACTTATTACATACATTGGTGGTTTAACAAAAGCCTTCATTAGAAAGGTAAAAGGAACATACAGTGAACATACAGATTAATGTAGGTGTTGAACAGCAAAGACGTAGTGTAATGCTCCCTCCAGATGGTGTTACGAGGGCATCACGTGGTGTATTAACTCCCCCAGATGGTGTTATGAGGGGCATCACGTAGTGTAGGTAACTCCCTCCCAGATGGTGTTGGGAGGCATCGTGGTGTAGTAACTCCTCCAGATGGTGTTATGAGGGGGCATCACGTGGTGTAGTAACTCCTCCCAGATGGTGTTGAGGGGCCTCACGTGGTGTAGTAATTCCTCACAGATGGTGTGAGGGCATCGTGGTGTGCTCCCTCCCAGATGGTGTTATGAGGGCATCACGTGGTGTGTAACTCCCTCCCAGATGGTGTTATGAGGCCTCACGTGGTGTAGTAATTCCCTCTCAGGGCAATTGTTATGAGGACCACGTGGTGTAGTAATTCCCTCACAGATGGTGTTATGAGGGACCACGTGGTGTAGTGAATTCCCTCACAGATGGTGTTATGAGGGGCCTCACGTGGTGTAGTAATTCCCTCACAGATGGTGTTATGAGGACCTGACGTGGTATAGTAGTTCCTCTAGATGGTGTTATATGAGTGAGGTTTGGTCCCAGTCCTTCCTATGTGTGTGCGTGTGTGTGTGTGTGTGTGTGTGAAAAGAGAGAAGGAAACTGTCTATTATCTCTCTCGCTAACACACACACACACACACACTGGCCTTCTCGACTTTCACTGACCATCACCGACCTCATCTGCAAATTTGGTGACAAAGCTTCTGCACCATCCTCGACACAGCTCCTACTACCACCTGAGATCCCTCCTTTGAGAGATTGCTGTTTGACACCACAACCGCATCCAGCCCATACGAGCACAGACTGTCGCTATCGGAACAGCCCGAACCATTGTAAATTATCAATAACTTGTAATCAACCTGTGTGTATTCACTCCCAGTAAATCTTACTTTTGCACTGTCACTATGGTGGGAAATGCCCTGTAGTTTGAGCTTCTCCCCACCTAGTTATTATATATAATATTTTTATCCTTATGTTACTTGTATATTTTTTGTAAATCAAAGACCCTCCCCAATTATGTAACTATATATTTTCAGCCTTCCGGCTGCCATGTTCTTTCAATAAGCAGTGGATTATTATTATTATTTATTATTATTTTCTCTCTCTCTCTTTCTCTTTCTCTCTCTCACACACACACACACACAACATGTCACTACCTTTCTCTGGACTTTCTACACAGGAACTCATTCTGTGGAAAAAAAATTGAAGACAGGGAAGTTTATCATGAAGTTTCTTTGTCAACGAACACCAAGAGTTTGTGTCTGACCAGGACCTGTCTGACGAGAGAGAGAGAGAAGAAGTTTCAGTGCTCGTTAACTTCCACATAGTAAGCTGAACACGATTACTCACAACCTGTTATTTTGCCCCCTTGTAAGATGTTTTATGGAGTAGTGGGCAAGTGGGCAAAAGAAAATAGATGGGCAAGTGAGCTAGAAGTGGGATTGTAAGTGAGTAAGAAGTAGGTGGCTAAGTGGGCAAGAAAATGGCGGGCAAGAAGTTGGTGGGCAAGAAGTTGGTGGGCATGAAATGAGTGGACAAGAAATGAAGGGAACAAGAAGTGTTTAGGAAGAAGTGTGGGGGGTAGAAATGGTGGGCAAAAAATGGGTGGGCAAGAAATGAGTGGGCAAAAAATGGGTTGGGCAAGGAATGGGTGAGCAAGAAATGGGTTGGCAAGATATGGTGGGTAAGAAATGGATTGGGCAAGAAATGGGTGGGCAAGAAATGGGTGGGCAAGAAATGGGTGAGCAAGAAATGGGTGGGCAAGAAATGGGTGGGCAAGTCGTGAAGGGACAAGAAATATATACAAAAACACACACACCTTAATTAATACCCACAAGATAATAAACACCCGTGATTACCTGTAATTAATTATCGTTCATCACCAAGAAATTAGAAATATTATCGATAACATGTAAAACCTCTTGGGTATTATTAATTTTGAAGCGTGGCAGTGAAAAATGAAGCGTAACAGTGAAAAATGAAGCGTGGCGGTGAAAAATGAATGGCAGTGAAAAATGAAGCGTGGCAGTGAAAAATACAGCGTAACAGTGAAAATGAAGCGTGGCAGTGAAAAATGAAGCGTAGCAGTGAAAAATGAAGCGGTGGCAGTGAAAATACAGCGTAACAGTGAAAAATGAAGCGTGGCGGTGAAAATGAAGCGTGGCAGTGAAAAATGAAGCGTGGCAGTGAAAAATGAAGCGTGGCAGTGAAAAATGAAGCGTGGCAGTGAAAAAATAAAGCGTAGCAGTGAAAAATGAAGCGTAGCAGTGAAAATGAGGCGTGGCAGTGAAAAATGAAGCGTGGCAGTGAAA